AATGAGAGAGAGAGAGAGAGAGAGAGAGAGAGAGAGAGAGAGAGAGATTTGTATATTTACGAGAAGAAATTCCCATCGCTGTGATTTCTACCACTTACAAACACTTCTTTGTTTTCTTCGATTTTTTGAAGTATTTTTAATGCTTCAAGCTTCGCTATTCCCCTTTTCTCTTTGAACCGATAACAAATTTACATTGCACTTCTCTGTTTGAGAATTTAGAAAATCTACATCCCACCATGTGTGCGAAGAAGCTGTATGTATATATATTTTAAATAAGAATTCTGGTCGTTTTTCTTCTCTCGTTTTTTTTTTTTTTTTTTTTTTTGAGAAGTGTACATATTCATTCTTTGTTCTCAGTGTGGAGGGAAATTTTTGGAGCTATTTTAAAAGATTTAAAAAATCTCAGTTTCACGGAGAAAGGATATGAACTTTTTTTCTCTCTCTCTTTTTTCTCTGTTTGATATTTTTATATAAGACCAATTTCACACACGACTTTATGAAAATAGCTACCAAGAATGTAGAAGAACTACTGGATGAAAATACTTGAAAATATATATACATATATATATATATATATATATATATACAACACAGAGGAGAAGAAAATTTTCTTGATACTCCATAGTTTTTTTTCTTCAACCATTTTCTTCTTTTGTTTAAAAACAAAGAGAATGTTTCAGAAATTTTTTACTACACAAATATTACACTTTTTCCCTAGTATCGTAGTTGCGAAAAATCCACTAAAAATTGGAGGAAAAATTTCATAAAATTTACGAAGAATCGAACCTAAGTCCACACCGTGGCAAGCGAGAACTCTATCTACTACTCCACTAACGCCATACGTATTTTCGACTTTCGTTTTCCCTACATAAGCCATACGTGCACGGAATAACTCGGCAAATAACGTCTCATGTTCAACTTGTAACGCACGTATACCACTAACCCTGGAAAAACAGATGTAGGCGATAAAACGAAACTAACAACGAAACAGAATATTCGGTGAAATTCCATGTTCCGAAGGTTTCACCACGTTTCACGCAACACGTCCGCACGCTTGCGTTCAGCTTCGTCGAGATTACGTTTCTAACTTTCTTACGTGGATTTCGCCACGATATAGAGCCACAGTTGCAATCTTCTTACTCCTCCATTCTTTTTTTTTTTTCCTTTTTTTTTCTCTCTTCTAAAAAAAAGTTATTGTGGGCAAAAGTTATTATAGTTGGAAAACGGGTACGTGCGGCAACGGTATTAACGGGATTTCCACTCGTAATTAGTCGAGAGTTTTCGTTGCTTCCGTGAAAACACGGAACTGTTGACCGTATTGAATGCGTGCACACGAGGCATCTCTCGTATATAGGTGACAAAGCATTGGAGAGGTAGGCGAGGTATGAAAATGCAGCCAGAGAAAAGCCGATTCTAAGCCAATACCGGTGTCGTGTCCATGGAAACGGCTGCTTCCTGTTTCGCTCCGCGTTTCCTCTACTCCTTCCACGTTAAGCCCCATTCACACCGCTACTCGGTGATTCACTGGCAGTGGCGCTGGTGTCGCGTTAATAAGCTCACCCTTAAATATGCAACCTGACGTGCCATCGCTTCGTATCTCGTTATACGATCTCGACCGAAACGTTGCGTTCGCACTGGTATGGAACCAGTTGAATTTTCGTGCAACGTTGGCAAAGATATATATTTTATATGTAAAATGGATATTTTAGGATGCCGTTATTTTCGTTTATTACACGATATCTTCATTCTTCTAAATAATAGTCGAGATGAATTGTATTTCAACTTTATAAAACTTTATATTTTTCCAAACTTTAGATATTTTTGGCGTGATTTTTTTTATTTTTCATTTCATTAATACTGTAATTAATTGTTGCAGGGACCAGGAGACGCTTAACGAGAAAATACACGCGTTATCGCAAAAATTAGAAAGAAATGGAGGAAATTAATTTTAATAAGAATTGAATTACACTGTGTGTATTTTTCAACCATTTTGACCATTAAAATTGCGCGTGCAAATAACGAAGAGGACTTTCTCTCGGGACAGCCGTATAGACACTCGTTAGTTTCTTTGAACGTGGAGAAATTAAGAGACTCAAAAAGTGGCCGAGGGGAAAGAAAATGCGTGCAAAGATGAGGTAGGTCAGGTGAAATTACCATTTAATCCGCGAAGAACGAGTCACGTTTTGAATACCTCGGGGGAAAAAACACGCGTATTCAGATGGTTCGAATGAGAGGCGGAGGAAAAGCATCGAGGTTCCGCTTTAATTATAAAAATTACTCGGACGAATAGAGGTGGAATGAAAAAAAAAAAAAAAAGAAAAAAAAAAAAATATCCGGATATTTTCACGGAGCATATAGCATCCGCGTGACTGGTTTTATCAACACGTTTAATCGCACGTTTAATTGTTTACATTTTATAGGTATCAATGTATGCACACGCGCACTTTTATTTTATTCGCACGCTGAATATTTGATGTTTGATCTGCCATTTTTGCTAATTTAACGTTTGATTTCTGCTTCTGTTTCTTTTTTTTCCCCATTTTAACTCGATGAGATTGGTTATAGATTTTTATCGGCGAATGATAGTTTTGACACGAATTTACGAAATTAATTGTCAGATTCCTGTTAATCCATTGGTTTCGGTGGTTGTTGGGTGAATGTTCAACCGCGAACAGCTTGGTTTCGAGAGGTTTCAGACTCGTGAAATTGGATCGTGTCTTTGCAACGTGATCGTGATATATAATTAGCGTATGTTCATGATTATGATCTTCCGCGAATAATTAATTTCGCGGAGATAAGTAACGTTTGTTAATCCTTCTTTTCAAAAAATGATCGGACGATTACGAGAAAATCAATTTTAAATCGTAAAATATTTAATTTTCTTTAACGAGTAGCCAAAATTTTGCGAGGAAAAAACTTGATCTAGAACAGCAATCGTATAGTACAGATTTTTTGCTGTTATATCACAGTTATTTGATTTTTAATAGATCACGAAATTTTAGGAAGATTTATAAAAGAATTTTTCATTCATATACATTGAATGAAATCTTAAAAAATGAAAAGATCTTCCCTTATTTCATTATTATATCGAATAAATATTTATAAATTGCAGAATAAAATAAATATTTCCTAAGACGAAATCTTCTTACTTTTAGTAAAAATAGTGAATTTCAACTATGCAATATCACGAAGATGGAATTTTAAGTTGGCATGCGACAAATGTAATATCGTGGAAGTGAATCTTATACGAATATGTACAAAAGAATAAGCATAAAATAATTTATATAATATAAATTATAAAAAAGAAAAATATACAAAATTTCAAACGAATCTCTATCCTGAATAATCATAGAATGTACCTTTCTTGACGATGAACGACCGATAATTATTCGCAATATGGAGAGATATCGAATCAAAGCAAACGGAGCATAGTCGTAATGAAAGGGTTAAATTTAGTTCACTCGAACTGTCCTCTGGAACTTATCATTTCCAGAAGCTTCAAGTTTCCACGCCTGTGAATAAAGGTCAGCCCACCACGACCCATTGCGCCCCAAGCAATTTCTCCTGTTATCGACGTTAATAACGTGCAATCTACTGTCTACTGCGAATCGAGTTTCGTTATCGATTTCTCGATATAATAAAATAGGTATAGTTTATATTTCCCGTATTTTTACAACGCGTTTCACGCCCACCCATAAAAATATTTGAGGAATGTGTGATGGCGAAAAAGGTGGACCCTGTATATTTTCCGTGTACCGCGAGCTGAAAGAGCAGTTTGTCCTTTTCGCCTTCGCAATAACGCGAAATGAAAGAAGCCAGACGGCGGGGGCGCACAGTTGGAACGGGCGCGGTAAGTGCTCCTTTTTGCGGTGATTCTTCTTCTGGTGTCAAATTTTCTTTCTACTTCCTTCTCTCGAGACACGAATTGAAATTGTCGTGTCGATCGATCGAGATGCGATCAAGGAGATGAGGGTGAAACAAGATATTCGTAATCGAGGAAATATTATTATAAAGTTAAATATTTAATTTAACATTCTTGACGTCGTTGAATATTTCGAATTAAAATTAAAATTTTTCCAGGAAAAATTTTGTTAAATAGAGAGAGTAAAATAATATCGTGAATTGATAAAGAAGAAAGATTGGAAAGATTGAATATTCCTTGGAAAAAAATTTTCTTATTCGGTCAAAAGTCTTTGCTATAAATGCGATATCGTAAGATTTTGGAAGAGGAGAAAATCGAATAAAATCATCTTGAAATTTTTGTTAAATATTGATAATATGTAGAGAGTAAAATAATATCTGAATTAATGAATTGATAAAGAAGAAAGATTGGAAAGATTGGAAAAAATTTTTCTTATTCGACCAAAGATTAATTTTTTGCTATAAATGCGCGATATCGTAAGATTTTCGAAGAGGACAGAATCGAATAAAATCGTCTCGAGATTTTAAATATTAATAATACGTAGAGAGTAAAATAATATCGTGAATTGATAAAGAAGGAAGATTGGAAATATTGAATATTCCTTGGAAAAAATTTTTCTTATTCGATCAAAGGTTAATCTTTTGCTATAAATGCGATATCGTAAGATTTTCGAAGAGGAGAGAATCGAATAAACATCTCGAGATCGCACAGAGATTTAACACAGGCGCGATAATACGGCCGATTATTCAGCTAATTAAAATCAAACACAGTCGATCGCGAACAATCGACTCGTCGGATTACAATTCGTCTAATTAAATCATCAATTTGTAACGTTATCACACCATTCATCAATCCAGATTGAAACAAACATCGGCCGATTAACTCGTCCCGGGATGCAAGTGGCACCGTTTTGTAAAGGATCAACGAATGTGATCAATATGCAATAAGTCAATATCTTGAATGACGAAAAACACCTTTTACCACGTTCGTTCTCACGCGTTATTTTGCCATCCATTCAACGTTCTCGACAAGTCATCGAATGAACGAAGACGAGTTATTATCCTCGCTCGATGAAGCGGTTGGAAAAATATCTTGGCAAACTATTCGACCGACCAATTCAATATTGACGTTTACCGTATAATCGCTTTTAACTTTGTGTCGAGAACAAAGGAGAGGCGTTGAGAGGGAGGCGCTGATCGACCAAATCAGGCCCACGATTCCGCTCGTTGCCAATTCGATCTTAGCCAGATTCACGGCTGCTCGAGCGGAGAAAGATTCAGAGGAGGAGGAGGAGAATGTCTCAATATTCGTGGAAATTGTCCTATTTACACGGTGCTTCGGAAGTGAGTACTCAATTTTAGTTCATTCTGTATAATCGTGACAGATATATAAGTTGATCGAGTAGTTGATAGAGAATAGTTCAATTTTTAGAAATACATCGAATTTAAATTAATCAATATATTCGTGTATACTTCTTAAAAAAATAAACTCGTGTATATAATTTAAAATACACAATTAAATTAACATACAATCCATCTCAACTTCAACTTTAAATTTGAAGAAACCATAAATTATTTAATGTAAGTATAAATATTTAATTGAAAGACACGTTGTTTCAACGATTAGCCGATTGTCGAGATAAAAAATTTCGAATTATCGTATCTTAAAGAGCAGCAGCGTTTTTTTTTAAAACACCATGTATACATTTTCCCCTTGGGACACCACTTTGATCTCGAATCAGATGCGTTCTGCTACATCTTTTTCGTGTCTCACCCCTTCCATTCGATTACATTACCTTTAAGAGAGGAGAAGAAGGGAGTTTGTCTCTCATTTTACGATATATCTTGTCACGCGGTTGTTCGCAGACTTTTCGCCCTCTCACGGGGGTTGGTTGGCTCGGAACGCATCGAGTACTTTCGTAGCTAGTTTAATACTAGGTTTACTATCGAAGCTATCTGGTTATCTGGTAGAATGTCTGGAATCAGCGATTCTTGTTGTGGAGAAGAATTGCTTTCCTAAGAGAGAGTTTGCTCTTTGTAGTTCTTTTTTCTTTCTTTTTTCAGAATAACTTTTCGTACTTGGTCGATTAGGTTAGGTTAGTTTCGAGTTGTAAATCGAAGTGTTTTATTATTGTTAGATAGCAATTTTTAGTACTTACAGATTTTTAATACTAAAAATATTTTTTGAAATATCATCATTATTGTTAGTTATTTAATTAATAATATAATCATATTGCTGTATCGTGTATTGATTCTTTTGAATTTTTTTTTTTAGATGGATGAAAGGGATTGCGAGTTGAATATTACAAAGAGGAAATGGAGAAGTATTTTTTTAACGTTATTACGTAAAGATTATTCCATGGATTTTTCTTATGTGGAAGAAAAAAATTGAATATCACAGAAAAAAAAAAAAAATAAAGTTTGAATATCACAAAAAGGACGCAAGAAAAGTATGGATTAAAAGCTTAAAAGCTTTGAAATTAGTACGTGTTTCACGAACGAAAGGATTTAAAAAGAAAATCAAATTAAAATTTCGTTGCTATGGAAAGTTGCTTATTTAATTTTTTAATTAAGAAGATTATGAGAATTAATTAAAATTAGCAAAGGAATCAGTATAGATTTAACTTTTTTAAAGTGATACCAAATTTTTTCCTGTTGCTGGATTTTCCTAAGATTTTGAGTTTTTTGAATAGCAAAAAACTTTCAAAGATTTCTTTCAAATGTTCGATCGTGATAGGGATGTCTCGTGATTGATGTAGCTTTTTCAAGCACAAGTTTTAGCACAAGTAAGAAGTTCTCAGCGCTTCAAGGATCAAAAATATTCTATAAAATTCTCGGTGAATTTTTTTTCCTCTCCCTCTCTCCCTCCCTCTCGTTTAATCTAGAGGAGCTTTTCATTAAGAAACTTTTTTATTAATCGAAGTCCATTTAATCGAAACTTTGAAATATTTATATCGTATAAACATCGAATTTTTATTAAAAACTTCGTAACAATTCCTAATCAATCGAACGAGTCTAATCAAAAGTTTGAGAGACTTCGAAAACAATTTTCTTGGAAGAATTCTAATAAAAATATTCAAGATCAATTTGATCTTTCTATTTCCCTCTTCATTGAAAATAAACTTTCTTCCTTCCAAGTAAGACACGTCCAAGAGAGAGAATTCCAAGAATTCGAATAGAGCAAAACTCGCCTCGAAAAAACCTAATTTCTAAACGAGATTCGAGAATTCTGGATCGCTCGATTCGCAATCAAGAACTCTAATCACCATCCTATCAAACTTCTTCGTTCGAGTACTTCTATTTCCCGAATCCCCCTGTCATCCTCTCGCTACAAACTTTCCTAGATAGACTGTCTCCTTCTCCGCGTTAATTTCGTTCCTCTACGCATCCTCAAACCGTACTCACCCACCCTCTTTCTTCCTCCCTCTCTCTATCGCTGTTGAAGAACATCCGTCCACGGAATATTTACCCGCGTAATTAATCGATGGGAAGAGCGCAGAATGGAAAGGAAGATTACCAGTGGAAAGAAAGTATATTTCATAGATCTCGTTACTCACGGCTAAAATGAAATTACGAGGGCGGGTTTGAAACACGGCACCTCGCCCGGAGATTTTTCTCGCTGGGAAGGCACCAGTTTTAATGCCTGGTGATCAGCGACTCGAAATGGATTTGCGAACGCCGTAAATTCAA